TTGTTTTTAATTGACCTCCATTTTGAAAGTTGTTTATATCTTTCATCGATGATTATTTTTAGGATTATGATGATCACTTACTGAGTAGCCAAACTCATCAAACTATGGTAAACATTTTTCAAGATAACTGTGGTTTCATTTTGAGTGCTCGTCAGGATCAACTTTGGAAGATATTGTAGTTGTGCTTAAGCTTTCTTTTGTTACTTTGTAAGAATTCGCCACTGTAAAGTTGTCCTATCAAGAGATGTATATATGTTTTGACTGTCATATATCAGGAATAACAGTTTTGTAAATTCTTGGGGTGTGTCAGCACTTACCTTTGCGACGCCATTTTTAATCAGAAATTTGAGGCATTGATGGAGTGTAGAGGTGACCACGATGTTCTCATGCAGCCACGGTCTTCCTAACAGCATGTTGAATGAAGGTTTTATGTCCAAGACATAGAACGTTATCACTTGAACGATAGGCCTGATCTTGAGTGTGAGAGGCAGTATGCCTTCAACTTGTCTCTTGGTCCCATCGTATGCAGCGATAATTTGTTGACATTGCTTGAAGTCATCCGGGCGTTTTCCTATCTGCTTCACTTTTTTCATAGGGCATATATTTAAGGATGCAAGCCCTCTCCGTATCTCCTATCCTTGCATGAAAACGGTGATGTGTAGGGGTTAAGCATGGAAGTGATTGAAGTTGGTTCGGATGTCATCGTCAGTGAACACGATTGACATTGGTGCCATCAGTTGGTTGATCATTCCGCACAACTCATCCTGCTGTGTATTGCTCGGGATGTGTGTCTTGGCGATGACCTTTTCGATCTAGGCTCTGTGTGCTGATGAATTGGCAAGTAGCTGCAAAATAGAGATTTGAACATGGATCTTTCTGTGATGAGCCGGTAGATCATAGGTGGTTGCGGATCCTTGAATTTCTTTATCCAGTTCATGATCTGTGACCCCTGCTGGTTGTCTTGCTTTTGAGGTGTTTTCCATTTTTTCATCTAGAGTATCGACCATCAATTGAATGAGTTTGAACACTCAACCTCTTCGGGTTAGGGAATCAACCTCGCCAGCCTGAAGCTCAATAGGGTCAACCCTAGCCAGAGTAATAGGAGATTTCAGAGTGTTGGCCCCTTTTCATTGATTCTGACCATATCAATTTTTAGCCTATCATCTTCCCCATATTGGTCCCATTTGGGAAGGTTATCGAGGTTCGAAGATGAATGGTTTCCTCTTAAAAGGCTCAAAATATCTTCTTTGGACTCTTGAA